TAAGGGGGGGAAATCGGAGGGGGAGACGAACCATGAGAGACTATGGACTCTGAGAAACAAACTGAGGGTTCTAGAGGGGAGGAAGGTGGGGGGATTGGTTAGCCTGGTGATGGGTATTAAAGAGGGCACATATTGAATGGAGCCCTGGGTGTTATATGCAAACAATGAATCATGGATCACTACATCAAAAACTAATGATATAACGTATGGTGATTAACATAACATAATAAAATAAAATTAAAAAAAAGAAATGACAATAAATTTGAGAGACCAAAAAAAAAAAAATCTATTTAAAGAGATACAAGGAATGTTTTTATTCTTTTGCGGGGGAAAAAGCCAGCTAATTGTCACACCACTGGAGCCACTTTTCATCAGTAATGAATTTGGAATACTTGCCTCTTTTACAAAATAAAAATAGACATTTTTTCTAAGAAAAAAACCCAAATGTAAAAATTTATCACCTCATGAGCTTACATTCTAGAGAAAATAGGCAATAAACAAGAAAAATAAAATATGTATGATATTAGATGGTGGTTAAGTTCTGAGGAGAAAAATTTAATAAGGAAAAGGAGATAAGAAATTTAGTTGGGGTGAGAAAATGGGGAATTGAATATTGTATAGGGTGGTCAGAGAAGACCTCACTGAAAAGGTGACTTATGCTGAAAGACTGGAGCAAGTAAGGAAGCCGTTATCCATATGGCCATCTGAGGAACTATTCAAGCAGCAAATGTCAACTCCCTGACTAAGGAGTATATATAGTGTGTTTTACAACAAGAAGGAAAGGAGTGTGGCTGGAGGGAATTGGGGGTGGGGGTAGTGGTAAGAGACATGACAGAGGACAGATTATGTAGAGTCTTATAGACCATGGTAGAGACTTTGGCTTTTATTCTGAGGGAGATAAGAATATAGCAAAGTAATGGAATGATCTGTAACAGGATCTCCTGATACTATGTTAAGAGTAGACTGAAGGACTCAGACAAAGGGAGTAACAGTATATAAATTTTTAACTTTATGGAGGAATGCATTGTCAGTAAATATTGACTAACAGAATTGTACATATTTAAAGTGTACAACATGATGGTTTGATATACATTGTAAAATGATTACCAGGATCAAGATATTTAACACCTCACAGTTAAGAAAGTTAAATACTTTCTTGTGTACATGGTGAGAATGCTTAAGATTTACTCTCAGCAACGTTCAAGGATATAATACTGTATATTTGGTTGAAATATTACCATTGTTACTATTGTTACTACATGTTACATTTCTATAACCTTTTATATTTCTTTATTTCTTAATCAACAATATAAGAATGCCTTCCAGGATATCTGATTATTTACAGATAATGATTATTCCTTGAGAAAATGTGATTTACACTTTAAGGTATTCTTTGGAAAATGTTTCTTTTCCTATATCTGGGTTTGGAATTATTTTTCTAACCCAAGGATTATTTTTGCTTTGGTGATTTAATAATTGAGTGTGTACCGTGTGCCATATACTGGGCACAGGGATTTGCATGTTGACACTTGGTCAGGCCTCATATTTACTCTTTAAGAAGATCCAAATATTGTTTGTTTCACCAATGAATAAATTGAGACACTGAGACAACTTGCTGAGCACATTGCATGCCTAATAATAGATTAGCGTCTTCAGTAAGAAATATTCTTAACATCGTTGTTAATATATCATAGTAGGTCTGGCTGCTATATACAAAAATTCTCTAGGCAGTTTATTAACAATTTGCCCTGACTTGACTCTAATGCAAACTGCCTTGAGTTAAATTATATTCTATGGTTAGTTTTATAGTCAGCTAACTCCTGTTTGACCCTCACTTGATAAAACAAATATCCATTTAAAGGTGGTCTATAAGTTGAATTCTGGTAAATTGAATCTTATACTATGGAAAAGGAGCTTTAATTTTTTTAATCTTTTAAGTATGAAAATAATCTTCCAGTAATAAAAATAATATCCAAATTTAGGTAATTTTAAATGTCTTCTTTTTTTTTTTTTTTTTAAAGATTTTATTTATTTAATTGACAGAGAGAGACAGCGAGAGAGGGAACACAAGCAGGGGGAGGGTCAGAGGGAGAAGCAGGCTTCCCGCGGAGCAGGGAGCCCGATGCAGGGCTCGATCCCAGGACCCTGAGATCATGACCTGAGCTGAAGGCAGTCGCTTAACCAACTGAGCCACCCAGGCGCCCCTTAAATGTCTTATTTCTTAACATAGAGTTTTCTTAGAGCATATTCATGTTGGTGTCTGTACATATCACCTGTATAGGTATGGGTGAGCACTTTGTGAACAGTCCGATAGAAGCTTTTAATACATTACATCGCATTCCAGTGCTTCCTGCATTGAAAAGTATGGCCAATAAGATATTTTTTATTTGCTAAATTTACTGCTTTCAATTTATTCATTTGATAACCAACCTGCATGCCTATTTGAAATATGAAGACACAGAAAAGAGGTTGTGGCAGAGTTTAAGAAAATGTTACTTACCTAATATTATAAAACCACAAAGTGCAAGTTTTGAGCATGCTGATATTTGCAGTTTTGTCACTGTGCATTTTATTTCTTTGTCAATGGTGTGTAAATGACTAGGTGCTTTTGGTGAAAGAATAATACATGAATAACCCCATAAGAGAAATACCAATTACTACTGTATTGGTAAGTAGGAAATAGTGATCATCTGAGGTGTTCTTCAAATATATATCATTATATTGGATATAATATAATAGCTTCAAGCTTTTGACGTTATTTTTGATCTTGGAAGTTTTATCAGATGTGGCATATATGTAAATATTATGTAAATGCATTGCTTGTTTATTAAGTCAAATGTATCTCATGCTTTATTTCCTTTGGTTATCATTTAGCAAAATGCATTCCAGGTCTTTGTTAGTTTTTCATTTTCTTCCTTCATTTCTTTCTCTTTTTTACTGGTTTCAAGTATGTTTAGTCATTATAAAAATTAATTTCTTGATGGAAAGTTAAAATTTTTCAGCATGTTGGAGTTTTATTTATCTATTTATTTTTACTCTCACCATCTTAACCATTCAGTAGTATTACATACATTCATACAATAGTTTTTCTTAGTGGATCTTAATTTATTGCTGAACATGGTCTTGCTGAAGCAGTGTCTTCATATTTATTCTACTTTATTGTTCTTTCTCCAGAATCTATATCGATTTGAAGGCACTGGTTTTTCAAACATTCCTCAACTTATAGATCATCACTATACAACAAAACAGGTCATCACTAAGAAATCAGGTGTAGTTCTGCTGAATCCTATTCCTAAGGTAAGTGCATTTATGTGTGTATACACACATACACACACACATATATTTTAAATGTGAGTTAACATTTACCACAACAAATAAAGTTCTTACATTATTTATAAAAGCTTGGAAACAAAAGGGCCTTGTGATTACCACTCGTACTAATGTTGAAGCATAGCATTTCCTTGGTTTTATTAAGATGGGTTGCCTTTTTATTCAGTGTTTGCTGGGTTACAAATGGTCTATTCTTTTTTTTTTCCTTCCCAGTTTTCCTTAAAAGACTTAACACTTTTTCTTCCTTTATAAGGTTCAGACTTTGAGTTGAGTTTATACAAGATTTTAAGATGTAGAAGTCAAAGAATATGTCCAGCAATTACAAGTAAATTAGAATTTTAATTTTGGATGTTAAGTTTACAATATAAGACATTAGAAGTTTTAAAAGCTACACTATTTTTCTCAAATATGGTAAATCCTAAGTTTCTCATGTGGAGCCGGCAGGTAACTAGCTGGGTGAGAGATTGTTCTAGGTAATTTTTACCTCCGAGATCTAGCACAGAACACATTACTTTCAGGTGCTTTAGAAGATTTGGGAGGTAAGGAATGGTTATGAAGATGGCTTGTGTTTTAAGGTAAATGCTGTGGGGCCTGGCCCAAAGTGGAGCAATGGAGCAGGCTTGGCTTCTGAGTACTTTTGATGTTTCAGAACTTGAACTGGGGTGGTCAAGAGTCCTTTTCTTTGAGGCCATCTACTATGAAGAACAGCATAGCCATAAACAGCCAGAAAACCTGGCAGGTTAATGTCTGCTAATTCAATTTTTATATATCTAGGCATGACTTTTAATATGAAGCAAGTGCTATTCCCAAGAATGCTAATGTGTAATCCAGATTCTGCTAAAGAAATTAAAAAAAATCAAAACAGCTGTTATACTATCCTTTGTTAGTCTAGAACATAATGTCTATCTTTGTACTTACATTATATTACTCAGTCATTACTGAGGGGCTGAGCCTTAACATTGCTTTCACAGAAGATTTTGACTGTCAGTTGCTAAACACTAGTTCTGTGGCTAAGAAATTGGCCTTCTTCCACAATTTTCTAAAATTATAAGATTGGCTCATTTCTTCATTTATATTTTTCCATTTGCTATTTCCCCCATTTTAACTTCAGAAAACCATATAAAAATTCTGTTAGTTTGAAATAAGTTGTCCCATTTTTCTCCAGTAAAACAGAGAAGTCTGCCAATGTTTCCTCTTGCATAAATGAATAACTGCTGTTGTTCTGCAGAATTCTAGGAGTTCTTTCCTTTGATTAAGGTGATCTATGCCTGTGGCTTCATTTACTTACTTATATAGCAGAGGCTTACAAATTTATATTCCTAACTTACATTTATGTCTTTCCCAAAAGACAAAAGAGATTTTTCTACTCTTTACCTAAAACTGAGTTTATCACCTTTAACTCCAAAATTTATTCTTCGTTTTTTAGTATATGGCACAAGTTTTCCCCACTATTCAAAAGTAGAGTGTTCCTATGAAACTTTTTATAAGCCAAAATGACATAAAGCAAAGAAGCAATTACCATTTCACAAAATTGAAAGTCCTCTTTGAATTTCTTTTGGTTAGCAAAAACAGGTACTAATATAAGTCTTTGGTAAGAGCAGAGTGGCATAAAGCAAACTTTTGGATAATGGGGGAAACCTATGCCACCAAATACTTAGCTGCTCAAACCATAAATGTAGGGGTTGTCTTGAACCTCTCCTCTACCACTACCCTCCCTCTATCACCATAAGTGACAGGAGTTTTGTATCCTTACCTGTACATGTAAAAGTATGAATTAAAGTATAATTCCAGCATAAAATAAAATTCAGCACAGTGAAGATACTTTTTACCCATGTTAGGTCAACAAGATATGCAACTGGGTTTTCAGAGATACTGATATCCCAGTTTACAGCCAACCAAATATTTGCATTTTCTACTTGCTGAGCCAGGTCTAAATTGAGAGACCAAAGCCGTAAAAGAGGCACATAAAAATGTAGATCTGGGCTTGAATAAGAATATATAATTTCAAATAAAGCTATATCCTTCTCTATATAACGTTTTCCATGAAATGAGTCTAGATAAATGGAAAAGATTCTGTGGACTGTTATATGGTCAATTATTCTTTCTCCCAAACCCCTAACACTGGCTGTGGAGCTGATTATCTCATCATTTTATATAGCAATAGCTATGAAAATAACTGTAGACTGAAAGCTATAGAAGATTAAGGAGCTATGTATGATTGTTTTATGAGGTAGAAATTTAAAGTTTATCTAGCTGACTATTAACCTGATCTAAAGTACTGGTATTTGAAATATGCAGATCATTATCTGTTTGTTGTAAATATTGTTATGCATGTTATTTAATGAATCATATTATGCTTTTAAAAGAAAATCACAAAGCAGAGGTTGTAAAGTTAGACAGTTTTCAATTATGAGTGAAGAACAAATTGATACGGATTTTATTATGGTGGTATTATCTGTTATATATCTTCCTTTGAGAAATTATACTCATAACAGGAATCTATTTCTTGATTTAATTTGTGTAAGAAGTTAATGTCTTTGACCATTATAATATGCTGTAAAACATCTCATTTCCATCTTGCCAGACTTCATTTTTAGCCTACATAAAGAATGCTATTTTGGTCTCAATATAATTTCTGTTTATAGCAACTTACTGCTCACTTCCTATTTATTTCTTTCTTACCCATGAAAATGCAAGTATATCATCATAATGCCTAACTGGAGGACACAGTGGCCATAGGATTCCCTTTCCTATCTCCAGAAGTACAGAAAACTAGACAATCTAGGATTAGGATTTATTTAACTTTCTCATGATAATAAAGCTAGTGGGTGCCCAAGCCATCCCTCCCTCACCCTCCATGGGCTCATTTCTCCTGCGCTGCTTCCCAAAGCCTGTGAAAAGGTATGGAAGATGCAAGCCATTGTTTTAAACAAGGGTTATTGATCACCCAGCACCATCGTTCTTATGTTAGGAAGCACACTGGATACGCACAGAGCCTGTTCTTTACTGAGTCAGTTTCTGTTCCAATGTCACTTCACCACAGAGGCCTTTTCTGACTACCTGGCGTGAAATAACCCCTTACGCCCTTTTGTTCCCCTCTTCCCCTCTTAGAATCTTTTTGCTGCAGTTGTGTTTACTTGGAATTACTTCACGTGATGTGTTTGTACTTGTCTGTCTTCCTCAAGTGGAATGTAAATCCCTAAGGGCCAGCATTACATTTAACAGTTAGAGCAGCTGTAGCGCCAGTGCCTAGACCCGGGCTCACCCATAGTAGGAGTTCAGTAAACGTTTGTTGAAGCGCTGAATTGCTAGAAACCAGCTACCTGCTGAGCGTTTGATATGCACTACCTCATTTAACCCTTACATATTCTTAGGAAGTATTATAATTACCCCATACAAGATTAGTGTTGTTTTTAACCTCATACCGTGTTATGAATGAGGAGCTGAAGCTTAAAATCCTAAATAATTTGCCCAAGATAACACAACAGATAAGACACAGAGCTGAGATGGGAGCCTATGTTCTTACCTCCTATGTGTCTGGACTGTAGAGCCTAGACTTCAGAGACTAGAATAAACTGCTTATTTTAAGGAACAAGGGTGTGGGTTTAAGGAAAAGGAAGTATCTTTGATTCCATAAAATGTTAAATTGAAAAAGACTGTAACATATCAAAAACTGTGCCACAAGTCTTTATGAAAGGAAAATCAATAAACAGTAATATTGGGTGGCAAAACTAGGATTTGAGGTTAAATATAGGGCTTGATAAAATTTAGTTAAGAAAGACACCTAGTTCAACTTTAACATTTAAATGGTAACTTGAAAGTTTATTTGCCTTGTTAAGTTTGATACTGCTTCAGACTTAGCTGTTTTTTAAAAAGAAATATCTTTCAGAATGGAAATTAAAGTTCATGAATAAATTCAGGTGAGTTAGGCAATGAGCCATTAAGTTGAACTTTAGACAAATGACTTGCCTGCCAACTTAAATCAAGTACTTGTGGCTTTTCATCAGAATTTGGTGCAGGATGCCAGAACAGTAGAGGCAGATTTTTGCAGAGAGGAAGTCTTTCTGTGACAGGTCTGAGGCAATCGCTTTCATGTTGGACACATGCAAACGAAGAACACTTCATACAAGAGAAAGTTGTACTCTTAACTAGGTCTTCTCTTCATGCTGTTAGTTTCAGATCACTTAAAGACTATTTCACATAGCTTGTTAAGTAACATAGCTTGCTTCGTCCAGTATTACTGTTTAATGATTTTCCTTTTATAGAGGCTTGTGATACAGTTTTTGACATGTTGAAGTCTTTTTCAATTTAACGTTTTATGGAATTAAAGAGACTTCTTTTTCCTTAAATCTATACCCATGTTCCTTAATTATGTAATTAAATTATTAAAATAATTTAAAATTTTAATAAAAAGAAGACTGGAAAATATATGTGATTCACTATTTATTCACTCAGGAAATATTTACTTAACACACACTCTCTGCTGGCCAGTGATCTATAGTCAGAGTGCAGTAAATGCTACAAAAATGAAGCCTGTCAAGAAGATAATGACCTGAGTGTGATGATGAGGTCAGGGGTTGGCTGGTGTGTATATGTGCATATGTGTGTGTGTGTGTGTGTATGTAGGGGCAGCTGCTTATTTAAAAAACATTGTGATCCAAGAAGTCCTCCTAATGAATTTTGAAGAGAAACGTGAACCAAACCAAGGACTTCTCTGTATGGTTATATGCAGGAGTAATAGTAAAAGCCTTTAAGAGCACAGCATGATTACTGGCCTATGAGAACAGATGCCAACTCCAAACTGCTAGAGCCATGCTGGTGTTTATTGGCTGAATATCTTCCATGAGTGTCTGGGGAAAGAGTGTTCCTTGGTATAACTGAGGAGCTGCAGAAGCCAGTGTGGCAGGAACAGCGTGGTCAAATGGAACAGTGTTTGGAGGTGAACACAGATTTGGTTTAATTTAATA